GTCTTACTCCCTCCACTGTTGATAGCCTATAGGACAGCAGAGCATGAAACCACTGGATACACGCCACTTCTTGTATATAAGTGCGCCAAACAAAGGAATTGAATTGCAGACAGAGATAGAGACAACAATTGAGTGAAGTGCGTGAATCGTTCGTTCGTTGTGAATTATAGCGTTTGTTTAAGTTATAGCGTGACTGTGGAAACTAAGTGTATTGCAAAGTTGTATTGAGAAAGAATAAACTAGTTTTATTTAAGAAAGGACTTGTATCGCTAAAGTTTCTTCGGAAAGAATTTTTACGGAAAATTAACAAATGATCAGAGGCGTAACAGCTTTATCGTTTGTTTCCTCATCACATGGCCAATGAACTCAGCTTGTCTCTTTCTTATTTTCTTGATGATGTTATGTTGACTTGTACCAACATTTGTTCACTACTTTTCTTCTTAGTTCATGCAGCATTCTTCTTAAGAGTCACATTTTGGTTTCTTCAAGTTTTCTCTCAACTTCCTTTGCTATTTGTCTGTGTTTTGCACCCATACATAAGTATGGAATCAATGCATGTAACATCGTAAGACATTTTTTCTTACTTTTATATCACTACTGTGGACTTAACATATATTCTAATTTGAATGAAAATTGCTCAAGATAATTTATTAGATAAACAATTTATAACATTACTTGGAAAATACCTAATTAAAATAAAACATGAAACAGGATTTTTGAATTATACAAAAAATCAAATTTTTGAGACCCTATCCTATCAGATTGATATTTACTCTTCACAAAGTCACATTACTGAAAATTATTGTTAATGTTTGGGCATTCTTTACAATGCATCAGGTTAAAATCAATCAATGCAGTTGTTAAATGAATATACAGTCTATAATGATAAACTATATTTTCAGTATCTTAAAGAACAATTCCATACATTTTAAGAGTAATTTGTTTTTATAAACCATGAGTGTTAATACAAATTAGAGGCAACCAACCAGTTAACAAGTGCTAATTAGAACTTGATAAACAAAATTCTTTATAATACATCTTGACAAAAGAGCCCAAAAGAGCAGAAAGAAAAAGAAACAACTGATCCTTCCAAGCACCATAACAACTGTGCCATATGGCAACTGATAAATTACACATTACTACAAATTTGTAGATGACTCCAACTGATTCACTAAAACACAATTAAACCAAACCTATTAGAGCACTGAAATGATAAAAAAGTATTAAAATTTTTCCATTAGCAGACAGCACCTAATTTACCACACTTGTAATGATGTTTACATCATTGTATATTACTGTAATTCATTAAGCATAATAGATGTATTACAAAACTGTAGCCAATTCACCTTAATCAATTGAAACACTACATGTTAATCCTACAAAACTGTAGCTAATTTACCTTAATCAATTGAAACACTATATGTTAAACCTACAAAACTGTAGCTAATTTACCTTAATCAATTGAAACACAATATGTTTATCCTACAAAACTGTAGCTAATTCACCTTAATCAATTGAAACATTATATGTTAATCCTACAAAACTGTAGCTAATTCATCTTATATAGTGTTACAATTGATTGTTAATCCTACAAAATTGTAGTTAATTTTTAATTAATTATAAAAGGCATTCCTTGCCACAAAAAATAACTGTTTTAATGTTTATCAAATGTATCTTATAATCAACATCATAACTGACGTAACTCAAATTTCTTTCTACTGTAGAAACTCAACACATTAAAGGCCTGCTGACATACAGGCAAGGATGAAAAGAAAGAGAAGAGTATAGAAAATAACGTTTATAAGTTCACAATAGTTTGAAAAAATAAAGAAAATTAAATACTGTCAAAGTATAACATTAATGAAACAATTAAAGGCAATTCACCAAGATATAAGGTATTATTTAATCAGCCTCAAAGCCTAATTTAAGGAATTTTTTCCACACAGTTAGTCGGTCACAAAAAATAAAATAAAATTGTTTTAGGTTTTGATTAGTGTTATAAAATAAATGTTTATAAATTGGATCACTAAATTAAAAATAACAACAAGGTCACTAATCACATTCACAGGACCACTCTAAAGTATGTGATGAATCAGCTACACTAAAATGGAACAAAGTTGATTGAACAATATGAATTACAAGTGGAGCAACATGTCAACAAAGGTGTACTATTTCAAGTTACATAGCCACTTATGTATTAACTAGTATGTATTATTCTTTATGAAACTGGAAATGCATTGAAATATGAAGCGCGCACATTCACAATATTAATTTTAAATTACTATTTAATTTAAAATAGGAAAAAAAAAAAAGAAAGTTTGAAACATTCTGTTCCCTTTAAAGAGAAACAAGTATAAAGTTCAAAGCATTAATTTTCACTTAATCAACATAAACTCAACTCACCATTCTTATAAGGGCACAGAAAAACATCAGAAATGAAATCATAAACCACAGCAAAATTCGAATCATAAAATGTTTGCTGATTTGGTTAGCAACACGTGACATCAGAGATGACACTGATGGTGACAACGGATCATCTTCAGAATTCTATGATGATAGAATTTTCATATAAAAATAAGTGAATCATATATGCTATACTTTCAACATACATTACTATTACACTTAATCATACATCAAAACTTGGGTGAAAAATTCTTATTTATAAACGTGCTCAAAAATGATTGCTATAGTTTCTCTTACAGGCTGTTCCATTCACTAAACAAATATCAAAGCCTACCCTTAAATTCTGTTAGCAGATATAAACCTAAACTTGTCTAAAACTCTCTACTGCTGCTATTTATTGAAATTTAATGTTTCTTTTAACTTATTATATATAAAAAAACTTGTGTATACTATGTTGCATTATTTTTCTCCCAATAGTAAATTCAGGACTGCTATTATTACTAGTATTATTCTTCTCTAAAATTAATTGTAACGATGTTATAATTAATTACTTCATACATTAAGTGTTAATAAATATGTATTTATTCTACTTATATGTAAAAATCTTCTGTGTGTCATGTTTTCTTTGAAAATATTTTCAAATATCCAAACTCATTTTATTTACATTTAACAGTTTTTATTTTAACTATTTCACAAAAGTTAAAAGATCCTTGATTTAGGTGGAAACTGATGTATCTTGGTCACAAGGGCCTGGATAAACAAAGTCGGCAGTACCCTACCATCGAGAGTTATCCTATGCTAAAAAAAGTTCTTATGATTAAAAGTTATTAAGTACAGTATTTCTAATCATGCTACCAGCATTAGTCAAACGGTGTGAGTCTAGTTGGTTGGCCCACATGGTAATTGCCTTAGCAGCCAATCAAACGAGTATCACTACCCTTATGTCCTGAAATGTAGTCTGAGTATGGCCATGCAGCTCCAATGGTGACTGCAAAACTGGCATGGCTTCAGCAAGTAAAGTAATCTTGTTAATCACAATCATATTAACCTTCTGTACTCCAAATCTTGCAATATAAATTGAATGCATCACAGGTGTATTCATACTTAACAATAAGAATCTGCAAATATACCTTTTAAAACATGTACTAACAACATTTTTCTGGTTCCTTTTACATTTTACTAAAAAACTACAACATTTACCATCAATTTGCTAGCTTTCAGGCACTGAGTTTCAGCCCTGGTCTAGTGTTATGTAAAAAGTAAATTTTTTCTCGTTGTTGTTATACATATTACAGTATGCTATTTTTATGCTTGAACATGTAAAAATTACTACAGTGATAAGACTGATATTTTGCAAACTTGCCCAAAACAAACTGTAAATTATGTTTAAAATTACTGATGGTTAACCACACTTTAAAATAATAATGTTATAGGTCTTGTGCTGCCTTGGAACTACTTCACTATTAATTGTGCTGAATATGGTAACCATATGCTTACAACTATTATACCACACTGTAATTTCCATTGTAACAAGCTTGTGTGAAGGATTGACAGATCAATCCCAGATCACACATCCTGAAAACTTTCCACAGGCTCTCTACTTTAAGCGTTCATCCATTTCTACTTCCAAGATCACACTTAAGCATAAAAGTGCACTGGAGCTGAATTGGGAGATTTAATAAGTATGTTGTCAAATAGAATTTCTGCAATTTCAGAATAAAAGGCCAATAAAAGCACAATCCAAACCCAACTGGTATGGGAGGAAGGGGAAAAAATTACAGACAAAAAAAGTTGAGTAAGGGAAAGAAATCATGGGAAATGGATTCAACAGAAAGAAGCCATTAAAACAATGAAGCAACCCACAGCATCTACTGGACAGAAAAGGTCATCTGGATCCCACTATGAAGAAATGTTGATGATGGTAAGAAACAAAAGTTGAAAGAAATATACCACATGAGACACTAACATGTAGGTTAGTAAAATCAATGCAGAATAGAATAAACAAATCGAGCTGAAACAGCTGAGAAAACCAAAGCAGTGCCAGCCAGGAAAGATCTATTAGAAAGGCCTGAACCAGAGTGACATGAATGAATGAAAATCTTGGGAAGAAGACTGGTGGAATGAGAAAAAAAACTAAGTTATAAAGTGGATATAAACCGGTATGAACTTAACAACAGCCAGAGCATATTGATGATAAACCAGAGAAGAACAAAAACAAAAGAGGTAACTATCTGGGAAGTCATAAAAGACTCAAAACTTCGCATGGAGAAGTACCCACAGGAGGCAGAGCCACCAAAAATTAGGAGGATCGAGGGATCACTCTAAGAGAGAAAGTGTGTCAAGATTGAAAAGTCAATTAGCAATGAGGACAAGACATCTGGAACACGATCCTCCAGGATATGTATGTCAAATGTGTGGATTCAAAAAAAAAAAGAAATCCACTGTTTACCACAAAGGGAACAAGAATGAGTGTTGCCTTGGTGAGTGATATAAGTCACGACTATCAAAAAGTTGAAACCAAATAGAATTAGTCAAATCTGGACAAGAGGAAGAGAGTGAATCAAAGCCCCTTGGATTGGCTATATTAAAACGTATTTGTGTCAAAACAAAAATGGTGTGAATCAATCTTGTTGGCAAATAGCATAAATTAAATAAAATATCAGCATATTTCTAGACACTAAATCCAGGATACAATTCAACTCTTAAAATTTAAATTATTTAACTCGGCTTCGGATTATTTCAAATTCTCAATATGTAACAAAGGTCTTATCCCCTTCTCACCTGGGCACTTCTTATACAACAGTATAATTTACAATAGCAACTATTTTGATTAATTATTACAAAGTTTCATACACAGAAATTTCACTAACTTACAAATAGCCTAAAATCGTCTTCCTAGTTCAGAGTCTCCTTGATATCCAGCGAGTTAACTTGAAGTTGATGTACGTACAATTGCTATGTAACAATAGCTAGCTTTTTCAGGCACTGAATTATTGGACTGTTGAAGTAAGATAATATTTTCATAAAACTACTAATGCCTGATGAGAAACCAGTAATATTTTTGGAAAGATATTAACGTTTGATGAGAATTCACTGACATTCAAAATTTATAGCTGTTCCTGGTCAAATGTCTATTTTTCGGTTGGTAAGGGTTAGCAAAATCACGGTTTATAGCATACACAGTTATAACAGTTTCCTAGCAGACTTAAGTATTCTCTTCTTTGGCCTTGATCTTTTTATATATGCCAGAAATGTTTTCTAGAAAGATTGGACAACAATACTTTATATTTAACCGGTTACGGAAGTGGATATATTGTCGATTCGTGCATTCACGAATATTCTACAACCTTGGAGAATTGGAGGGAGTTTTGCCATATGTAATTAACACGGTAAGATAGGCACATTTTTACATATAAACTCAATCGCAACAAACGTTGTCATTAAAATAAATATATAACAAATTCGTTACATTCAATACATATCTGACACTATAAGTTATGCATACTTTTAAATACAAATTTAACCTAAATAACGTTCATATTAAAAATAAATACATAACAATA